GTGATGCGTGGCCAGAAAGACTTTGAACCTTCTTTTGTAAAAAACATTTTTAATATTCACTTTTTTTTTTGGTAAAGAGAGATAATTAGGTTTACTTATTTATTTTTTAGTGGAGGTACTAGGGATTGAACCCAGGACCTCATGCACACTAAGCATGCCCTCTACCACTTGAGCTGTACCCTCCTCCCAGCTTTGAACCTTCTGGTCCCCATAACTGTCAGCAAGTGCAGAATTCCCTTCTTCCATCCCCTTGGCCGGTTTTCCCTAGGGCTCCCTAGCTAGCATTGTTCCAGTGTTGGTCCAACAGAACTTCAGAGCACTCAGTGGCAAGAAAGGTGGTTCTGGAAAAAATGTATGTGCGTGTGCGCTGTGCCTGTGTGTACTTACACACACGAATAAGCTATAGAGATGGAGACAGAGACCCGTAGCTATTGTGACATTCCATGTACACCTGTCATGATGTTGCCGTGGAGCATCTGCACTGAATGCGCCTGGGCTTCCATACCCTCTCCTCTTTGTGTGTGCTCCTTGAGATCGCCGCCCAAAAGAGGCTGAGAGAAAGCAGGCATTCATCTCACCCTCTCAAACAAGGATCCTGGCGCAAGCCTTTGAGAGGGACCGCTTTCCTGGCGTCCCCCACGCGGAAGAACTGGCTCGTCAAGCAGGACTCCCCGAACCTCGAGTCCAGGTAAGTCCTCAGCGGGTGGAAGATGATCTGTGCCAAGGCGGGAGGGCCGCTTACCCCTGCCCAGGTGCTGAGTATATGTGAGCTCTTGCGATGGTTTTGGATGTGTGGGTGGGGGCTGAGGGGTTGGGGGTGTGGGGTGGGGGCGGGTGTGATTCGCCATAGGAATTCACTAAGGTGGCTGACCTGAAGGCATCCGTTTCCAGACGGCGGAGGGTGGAGGAGGTGCTGGACAGCCCGTGACAGGGCCTGATGGTCCAGCCAGTCTATGGGGGATCGCTCATAGAAGCCAGGGGTCCAGTGTGGCCGTGACATTGCCCCTCATTTACAAGGGCCTGGGGACAGGTGGAGGTCAAACCGCTATGGGTCAAGGCCTACTAGAAGGCACTGTTGTGGCCCAGTGCCTGTCAGATCACGGTGGCTGGACACAAATCCATCCAGAATGTCTTGCTTCTGATGCACCTGTCCCCTTTGTCTCGTCTTCCCTAGATAGTTCAGAGCCAGAGAGCTCGTCACCTGGAGCAGAGCGGAGGTGGGCCTGGGAAGGCCGAGGCAGAAGCCCTCAGTGCCAGATGAGCCCTCACTGTGCTGTCGGGCCTAAGCCCCCTGCCCACTGTCCACAACAGCGCTCATCACTGTCCTCCATCTGATCCACTCCAGAGCATCCAGTCCTTGGCCACAGCAGCCCCTCCTTCATCGTCCAGCTTCTTTGCACCTTGTACTCCCTCTGGTGGCTGGGTGGGCCAGCCTTGATGCTCCTGGTGGTCCAGCCCATCCTGGCTGTGCAGGCAGCAGAGAACCCTTCACCTCTGGGCAGAGTGCCCTGTGGCTCCTCAGCAGGACTGAGTCCAGGAGGGGGGCTCACACCCATTCATGCAGCACTCATGCCCTCCACCCAAGAAGGAGCTTGCCCGCCCAACAGCCTGCACACTCCAGCTCCAAGGCGCCCCGCAGCCTGACCTCCGGTCGCAGCAATCCTCACAACCCTTGCAGCATCCGGCTCAGCCGTGCGCCACCCATGGGGTGATTCTGCAGCCTGGACGGACTGAGACGCATACCTGGCAGCAGCAGGACCCGAGTGAAGACACACCTCCTCCGCTGGACCCACAGTACCAGCCCCCAGGCCCCAGATGCTCAGCCAGCCTCTTAGATGAACTTTTGTCAGACACGGGGCTTCTGGAAAAGGCACAGCATTTTCTAAGCACCAATGCCCAGGAAGAGGGACTTTTGGCCACCCTGGAAGCACCCCTTGGGGAAGACGATCTCCAGGCTCTCCTGGACATGCCACCAGGCTCCCCGGGGCCTCAGGAGAGCCATCTGCCGAGCCCCTTTCGGGCCTCCTTCCCTGGGATGCAGAGCCATGGCTGGGAGGAAGGACAGGAATCAGCCACACTCCTAGGGCTCGGCGGCAAGGGCAAGGCGCCCAGACTGGCGGTGGCACTCAGAGAAGGAAGAGGCTCAGAGCAAGGGCCCCCAGTCTGACTGATCACGCTGCCTCGCGTGGAGGCTGCCAGCCACTGTGACGGGGCCCCGAGGTCCCGGGGCTGGTGCTGGCCCACTGATGAGGTGAGCCAGGGAGTGGGTGACTGAGGGGCCAGGGGTACCCGATCGAGTGTTAGCCTGCTGTTGGGCAGGACCAGCTTTTGACATGGCTGACTGGGGGTCTGCAGTGTCCCGGAGTTGGTGTTGGCCCCCTGGTGTGTGGGCAGGTGGCTGAGGGCTCCTAGGTGTCTTGGAGCTGGTATCAGCCTCCTGGAGAGAAAGGCTGGGACCCAGGGGCCCCGAGCTGATTGATGCCTGCCCACTTGGGGTGAGGGTGGATCCCGGGGTGAGTGTCCTCTCGCTGATGGGTGGGGCCAGGGCCGGGCTCTCTGGATAAAGGGCCTGGTGATTCTAAAGCTGGTGCTGGCTCACTGGTGGGCAGTTGGGTCCTAGGGTCTCTGGCCTCAGGCCCTTGGGGTCCAGGATCTAGTGCCATGTACTGGTGTGTGGAGCCAGGCCCCAGGCCCCCTGGTGGCTCCAGGCTAGGAGTGGGCTCAGGAGGTCTTAAGGAAGGAGGAGCTGTGTCCCGGCCTGGCCTGAGGCACCTTGATACTGGTGTTGGCTGGCTGGTGGGTAGGGCCAGGTCAGGGCCAGGTCCGGAGGCTAAGGTGTGTGGGGATGGATTCAAAAATTGTTCTTGCCAGCAGCAGTGCTCCCGTGGTAGAACAAGCCCCCATCGTGGCTGCCTCCTGTGTCCGTGTCCCCAGGGTCAGCTTCGGGTGCCGCCTGCGACCCGGGGAGGCTCTCCGAGAGCAGCAGGCAGGTCTAAGCCCGGCTCCCTTCAGGTTACTGCCCTTGCCCTGGGTCATGGGGTACGTGAGGTTTCTGTGCATACCTTTTGTTTTTTTAATTTTATGCAATTGACTTTTTAATAACAAAAATACTATTTTTAACATGGTCAAATATGCTAAGTCCCGATTTTAAAAACCAAAAGTATCTCAACAGCACAAATGTACAGCTTTGTACAGAACACTCCACAGAGTAACAAAAAGTGCAGCTGAGCACGAAAATAAAAAACATTTAAAGAGAACCTCTAAGCAGCATTTTATTTCTGCAAAAGAGACATATCGTACTGATTAAATATGCACAATCGCTTTTCCTTTATAAAAGCACATATATTCTTAATAAACTAAGTCATTAACAGTGACCTGGTGATCTTTCACGTCAATTTGAATGATTTATAAGCTAAACCTTACAACCACAAAAAGGGTTTTCTTTGTAGTAAGATGTTACCACTTTAAAAAACAGCAACAAACAAAGCTTGCATTATTTTACATTTCAAAGGGAAATCAGCAACACGACGGCACAATACAGTGTGCGACGGTTGTATTCACAGCGAGGGCCACTCCGTCAGACGGGCGCGCGATGGGCTGCCAGGTGCAGGGGCGCAGGAGAGCACCGGTCCCTGCCATCTAAGCTCTCAGCACGGACCACGGCTTCTTAAGGACACCTGGGCCCCCCTCCCCATTCAAAAAAATACAGCAAAACGAACTGACCCCAGACAATGTTCAGTGTATGTACCGTTTAAGAATGGGATCCCTATTTCCCACTGCCCTCTGTCTCTGCCTAAAACAAGCTCTGATGGCCTTCAAAGCCAAGTGCCCTGGAAGCTTCTCTTCCTGGAGCAAGACCCCGGGGACTCGACGTGCAGCTCAGACACCTCACTCCTTGGGGAGACCCTCTGCATTTGTAATTGTTGCCCCATTTGTGGGTCAGCCACCTGGGCATATGTATGGGTCTTGACTGCCCTGCTACACATCGTATTGCGGTTCCTTCTTTGTATCTTTAGCTGTAGAAGGTCTTTTCTGCTCGTCTTCCTGTTTTTCTAATCGGTAGTGTCTCTGCGTGTAATTCTGGTGTGCCTGCGGGAGGGAAATGGGCTCCGGGTCCTCCTCCTCCATCAGCTTGGCCCCACCTCGATGGGACAGACCTTTACTGTCTTACACCTCCATTGTAAAGGATGTTGGAGAAAAGGATCTCGATTTTGTTCATTATTTGGGCTCCTAATGTCATTCTAATTTAATTTTGGATAAGCCAAAATAAACCAGGTAACACATTATTGCCATGTAAATGAGTATATCCAAAAAATGTGCTATTAGCTCTGTATACTACTGATAAACTGAAAATAAATATATTTATAAATATATAGAGAAATGGAAAATGTATTTTTATATGTTGTTATTATGCAATAATGCACTTTTAAGAAAGAAATGCCAGATGCAAGAATACGCAGACGTTGCCGGGGAGTGCTTTGTATTTACTAGCAGAAAGTGATGTCATTCGGGTAACTGGTTATTTTTATTGTTATAAAGTTTTCATAAGCATATGTAAATTATGTATTCGTTATTCCATCAGGGTGGCCAGTTTTATAGTATGCTTTACTACAAGTGTAAATTAGGACTCATTCATTCCTGATAAGTTTTCTATCAATAAATTATTATTTTAAAACATGTCCATGTTCAATTAGCTTTGCAAACATTGCCACAGTCAAAAAAGATGTCTGCAAACCAAACTGGAAATTTGTTTTAGGGTTTATGATGCCTCATTTTGAGGCTCAGAAGTGTTGGGCAGTTTTTGTAGCCGCTGCTAATTCAGAGAGGTGCTAGGTTTCAGTTACACTGATTTGTGATGATTTCTCAGATGAAGGAACAACCTCCCCCCACAGTGGATTCCCCACTCCAGTGCAGCAATAATTGATACATTTGGTGTCCTTGAGTTTATTCTAGCCAGCACACTGAGACTAATGTAACCAGTTTTACCCCAAAGAGCTTTATTTCAAAAAGCAAAATCCAGTAGTGGCTCCCAGAGGGACACTTTCCATCCTTTCCGTCCCCACCTCTGGGCTTGGAGTCCAGCCACCAGGAGTCCAGCTTTTCTGACTGTGAATGGCCAGCAGGGTCTGGCAGCTGTTGTGTGCTCTGTGTACCCAGAGGAGGGTGAGGTCTGCCACCTGTTCTTGAAGTCACAGTCAGCCCTTGTGATGACTCTGGCATTTCAAGTCATCAAATATGTTAATTTGGCAGGGGACAGGATGCCTTTGCGAATGAAAAATGTTGCAAGCCATATCAGTAAACACAGGATGCTGTGGCCATCAAGTCATCAGCCACTATCGCAGCTCCTGGCAGAGCAGAGGGGACTCAGGATGCTGACAAGCGGGCAGCCCAGCCTCTGCAGCCACCCTCAAGGGTGCCCCCTGAGGGAACTCAGGGTGGGAAAGAACAGAATATTTGTCAATATCCACTAAGACAGGAGACCATAGAAGGCGTAGATCTTTGAAAACAGCTTGCATTGAGAAAGGGCTTATCATGCCTCGCACCAGCCCTTGTACACCCCCATCCTGCTGGTTAAATAACCTAGTGGCATGGGTTGGAGATTTGTACAAGATTTGGGATCCATCAATGCTATTATTACTCCTTATCATTCTTTAGTGTCACACCCTCATACCGTACTATCCTACATTCCTAAAAGCAGTGACTTCTTTCTGTGGCACATTTTTTAGTGTTCCCATCCAACCAGATGATCAGTATCCTTTTGCCTTGACTTGGAGTGAGAGGCGGTACACGTGGATGTAATGCCACAGGGCTACGCTGAAAGCCCCACTTACTCCTCCCAGATACTAAAAGCAAACCTAGATGATCAATATTTTCCTCACAAGTCAGTTTTGACACAATACATTGATGATTTGCTGCTGTGTTCAAATTCTTTGATAAAGAGTCAGTGAGACACGTTGTATTTACTTCAGAAGCTAGCCTTAAAGGGACACAAATTGTCCAAAGAGAAATTACAATTCTGCAAGACTAGTGTAAAACATTTAGGACACAGGATATCGAAAGGACATTTGATGGGTCTGGATAGAGTAAAAGGCATTCTAGCCTTCCCTGCCCAGAAGACAAAAAGGCAATTAAAGGGGTTAAATTTGGGCCTAGCAGTCTACTGTAGGAACTGGACTCCAAATTTCCCATGAATAGCTCAGCCACTATATAATTTACTCAAATAAGACCAACTTGAATGTCTTTGCTGGGACATAGAACATT